GTCCTTGAGAATAGACTCTCTACGTAACTCAAATTAGAGTGGTGCAAAAACAAATAAACAAAAGAAACCACCTCAACAAATGACTTAGCACAGCAAAACTCCCCCCCATCTTGGTAGTTTTTGAAATTCTAGCCAATATAGGGATATTTTACTTCTCAGAAATGGGAAAAGTTTTCTTGAAATCTTTCCTAGTCTTGTTAAATAAACTATTTTTTTTAATAAAAAATACCACTTCTCTGAAAAGTAGAAAATTGCTGTAGAAGGTTAAAATGTGCTAAGACAACTTAAAAGGTAAAGCCCCCGTGCCCCTCCACCAAGCAAGGAAACAAACAAGTATTGTTACTAGCAAATTCACCTATTTGGAACAGCTCCTCTGAAGCTTCCTCTTTGAAACTGTGTGAAACAAGGCTGAACTTTTTTCTTGTGAAAAACAAAAATTCTACTGTAAAAACTGCAAAATATATATACTACCTGATAGTCTAAAACTAAGCCAAATAAATAACTCACACTAAAGGCTGAAAACTGCAAATCTGCAGGTAAGAAATCCGCACATGGAAAGAGCAATGACCTTAAAGGTCTATTCCATTTGAAACCTGCTATGATTTGTCTTAGTCTGATGCCATTCAGGAATGTATTGCTTCACTCTTCAGCCATTTGATGTTCCTGCCAAATCACATCGGATATACAAGAGATACAGATGCTGCTGTTTCTTTGAAAAATGAACTAGCTGAAAGATAACATTGCAGCATTAACTCAGGCTGTCCAGGTTAAGGTAAATTCAAAGCCACCAGTTTAATAGAATGTGATTTTTTTAGTAATGGTTTAATAACAAATACATAATTTTAATGGGGGAAAAAGTGTATTTTCTCTATTGGCCCTGTAGCTGCATTCCTCAACTCAGAAAAACATTATGGTGAGAGACAGCAGGCATTAAACAGGCAAAGTTTGCAGAAATTAATAAGAAATTGAATTCAAGGGTATCTCTAAGGCTTCTTTGCAATCACAGTACAGACATCTGTGCGAGTCTCTGCTTTTTGACACACCTGAGGCCTTTCACCCTCAGTTTAACAAATTAATTCCAATGTAAAGACCTGCAGCTTATTTAATTTCTTCATGACAGTATTTTCCCCCCAGTCTCACACCTCACTTTCTGTTCAGAATAATGGAATACTTCACTTGTTTAAGTTCAAGCCAACTTAGAACTTTGTAGTCCACTGGCCATGAGAACATACAGTTTCTTATCAACAGCTGACATTCAACTAAGATACTAAATTGGGTTTTTTCCAATGTGAAGTGTTTTCTAACAAGGGATTTCAAGTAAAATATTACTGACATGATTCTTGTGCCTTTGGTGGTTCTCTCAGTCCCTTCGTTCCACACAGTTGAATCTAACTTGGTCTTTTATGTTGGCAGAATATAAAAGGAAATATGAGACGCAATTATAATTTCTATGACTACGCAATTAAGTGAAAGTTACTATAAAATAAAAAGTTCAGAATTCAAATACTCCTTTAAATAATAATCATCATATAAATAATTAGTAATTGATCTGAAGCCTAGTTCTGCCAGCTAGAGTAGTTTTCCTCAGTCTCCACAGGGCCTGGGGCAGTTTTTGTCCCTGACTTCATTAGGACAATACACACAGATTTGGTTTTATCTTGGTCTTTTACTATTTAGCTTGTTTTGGTTTCCCTCTGCCTCCATCCCTCATCCTTATGGAATTAGCCCCTCTCTTACTAAAAATGTTCAGGAGCCTTCCAGAGGGAGCCTGTTTATAATTCCACTGGGGTCAAGCACATCACTTTTGTTACATTAATTCTGAACAGAGCTATTTCAGCTGTGTCAGTTCAAAACACGAGATGACTGAGACAATAAGGGACAACATGGACAACCCCAGACCCAGCAACAGACATACTGCATGACATGCTTTCTCTTTCTCTCACTTCTTTTCATCCTCAAGGAACACATTTCTGTAGTCCTCCCTGACTAGGAATCAAGATCTCTTTTTTGATCTGTTCTTTTACCTTGATCTTAATTACTAAATTCTAAAATATATCTGTACATTTTGGTCCTGTGTTATCTCTACTAATGGCTAGGGAAAAGCTGACAGAGGATGAGATGCCACTACATTAGGTCTCATCTTAAACATGGTGTCTGCATTAATGACAAGTGACACAATATTTTTTCCAGTATTTGTTGCCATTAACCATTGCAACTTTGGAAAGTCCTCCACCTGTCCACTACACATCTTTCCAGCTTGATTTCAGACCTTCCCAGTGGAAATTAGTCAGGTTAATCACAAAATATGCAAAGATGCTCCTTTTTTTCCCCAATCAACCCTGTATTCACCATCTTTTAATTGCACCAGCACCTTATTGTTGTGTTAAACCAGCAATCTGCCCATATACTTCAGCAATTTTTTATTTCTGGCTAACAAGAACTCCTAAATTTTGCTTGTTCCAAGTATATCTACCTTTCCAAGGGCTCCTGGGCAACTCTGCAGTCTGTATCCCATTATCCCTCAATATACCAAGCACAGTAGGAAAGCTACAGAATAGGAGAAACTGCTGCTTTTTGCATGTATTACAGTTTTAATCAGGCTCTTCACTTCTATGCTCAGATACTCCAGAAATCTGCCACATCTGACTTCTTCCATGATTTATGAAGGAGGCACATATTCTAAATATAGATAATAATTGTGCCATTTAAATGATAATACCAAGATGTTTTCTGTAGGGAAGATATTCATGCAGGGCACTTTCACCATGAGCAGCTCTTCCACAGGACTATCCAGCCTCACACCAGATGTCAAATACAAAAAGAAATACTCTGGCATGAATAACAAAGTTCATTTGACTGAAGGATTTACCTCCTAGGAACAAGAGCCTCATAAAACATAAACATTGGGAGCAAAGTGAGCCACGTAAGGGTTTTTGCTAAAATTAAACCCATAACTTGCCACTAGAAATGGGACTTTTCATCTGTTCAATAAGCACTAAAGTTCTCTTTGTTTTTATGGCATCGTAATCTTTGATTACTCTGATAAATATTTGGACTATACAAAACATTGCAATGGAACTAATCACAGTTGTAAAAAAACCAACACCCTGTGTGTGAAAATGAATTGAGAAAACAATGATACCAGCACATTTTAGAGAAGTTCAAGTACAAACCCACATCATTTTAACTGGCTCCCAGCCCCATTCTTTTTATGTTTCCATGTAGTCATTTACACCTGAGGAAAATGGGTATGAAAGTTGTTATGCTTGTTAGGTTTGCACAAGCACAGTTAGGTAACAGTGCCAGGGATGGAATACCAACCATGGAACACCCTTCAGATGCCAGGGACTACATTCTGGCCACAGCTGAACCACAGAAGGTCTGTAGCCAAGAGCAGCAACTCAAGAAGTATTTTCCAACACCTTGAACTGACTCTATAATTCAATGTAAGCAAAATGATCAGACTTCTTGGGGGGCTAGAAAAAAAACACATAAATATAGCAACTTTCTAAAGTAAAAAGCTTTTCTTTACCTTGTTGTATTCTGAGCAGATGCATTAATGTAAATAAAGTTCAAGAGCAAATCATGTCAGCTAAGAAAGTAATTGCAGTGGTGAAAGTCATGCCTAGTATAGCAGCAGCAACATTTATGAAGTGGTAACAAGAATATATTTGAATCAATGAGCTGCATATTTATATCACTGGTGTGATAGTGTCACATACTGTCAAATAGTCTTAACATATTACTTCTACCAGCTGAAGTTTGCTTTTGGTTCCAGCAGACTGAACCCAGAATAGCTGAAGCAAAGCCAATGCAGATACTTTAGATGTCACTGATTGAAACTAAGAACATGAATTTGCACTTAGCATTTATATAGTCCTTTTCATCTTCAAAGAGCATCACAAACAGTAGCTAGTGCTAGTTCTCTCACAACGACCTTCATGCTAACCTTTTGGGATAAGGGTAGTGTACAATCAGAAAAACACAGACAGGATGTGTAATCAAGCATACACCAAATCTCAGATGTGTAAGTGATCTCTGCCTTGACCTCTATCTTTGCCTCGTGGTAGATTTTACTTCATGGAGCCTTTCCCTGTGGCTCAGGTATTAAGCCAACATAAAGTGCATTTTACTAATATAAAATGATGGCAATAGTCCTTGAATAACAGATTTACTATCACAGATATAGGGTACAGTTTTGTTTTTTTTAACAGATAAGGAACTCATAATAACACTGCATTAAAATTTTGCTGGTATAGGACAAGCTGTCACAGGACAAGCCAGGGACACATCTAGGTTAGATAGTGAGATTCCATAGCTTTGAATTCCTACTCTTCAGGGATTCTGAGATTATTTTTCTTTACTTCTTCCAATTCAAGTAAGGAATTTTGTAAATCTCTATGGAAAGCTTTCTGGAAAGCAGCAGAAGCTTCCCTTACAGGTCAGTTCTCTCTGCCCTCCAACCCAGAGTGGCAATTTGATTATCAATTCTGGTGGTTCTAAGCCCAAAATCTCGAATAAGTTCCTCAGATTTCAGTCACTTGCTCACTTTGTGCAGAGGAATATATTGAAGCAGACAGTCCTCATTTTCCTGGTGACCCAGAACAGCTACTGTTACATGAACACCTTTAATCTCCTGTTTCTGGCTTTGAATTGAATTCAAGTGAGGAGAGATGAAAGCAAGTGTCTCACAAATCTGCTACTACAGCTGGTACTTCTCAGTTTATCATATCCTTGCTCTAATTCTCTTTGATTCTTCTTAAAATTATTGCTTCTATTTCTTAATTTGACAACTAAGCGTTCATTGCTATTTTTTGACTATGAAAAAATCCTCCCCCACCTTTCTTATAGCTATTCCCTCAGGAAAAAAAGAACCCAAACTTACTTCATTATCATATCAATGTATGAATTTAACTTCTCCCTTGGTAGGTTTTCTCATGCAGAGAGCAAATGAGCAGATAAACAATACTTCATTACTTACAGTTCAGCAAAAGACTTACAAAATAAACTGAGGAGTGAAAGGAGGATTAGGGTCAGGCTGATATGAAGAGCATCACTCGCACTGCAGTCCATTTTGGATTTCTTGCAGGTACACACTTGTAATTTCAGTTCTGTGTTGTTAGTCAGAGGTGGTTTTCCAGAATCTGTCACTGAGATTGGGATGTTGTAATTGGCCTTTTTCAGGTTTTGAAGCAGGATGACCTGGGCATGAGTACCTGCCAAGGGGGAGGGGAGAATTAGCCAAATGGTGGTTGTTTGGGAGGGAAGAGGAATCTGTGAACAATATCAGACATGCCTAAGTTAGTTGTGGAAATTAAGAAGGAAATGAGAACATGCTAAGAAAAAAGATAAAAGAATTGAATTGGAGGTAAGGAGAGGCAGTACAGAAATTTTTCATGGGCTGAAAGCTAATTGCAAACTTAATCCAAACCACATCAAAATTAAGACTTTTAAGAGGCCCTTTTGTTGAAATACATCATTTGGTCTGCAAATTATTGGCAGAAATTGCCTGTGAAAACTAACATACTAATGAAATGCTAAGGCATGTCACCCTCAAAGCAAGAAGAGGAAAGAATATATTTACTTGCCAAAGGAAAAAATGTCACTTCTTGCAACGAAGTATGGGCAAAGCTGCT